ACCTAATGTGACTCTGAACCCTAAACCCTAAACCCTAAGCCCTAAACCCTAAACCCTAAACGACCAAATGTAACCCTGAACCCTAAACCCTAAACTCCATGCTATATCAGTCTAGGGGTCCAGGGTTCACCAAAGGCAAGCCTCTCCCTTAAGGTCTTCCGGTGGATTTGCCTTCCTTTGGGGGGGGTATAGGCTACCTCACCTGTCCCAAAAGAGTGTCTGTCTGCTTCAAACCCTAAACCCTCAACCCTCAACCCTAAACCCTACACCCTAAACCCTAAACAGCGGCATTCTGGAACTGAATGCAACCAACCCAAAACTATTCCGAAAGACCACCATTATTCGTCTTACCATCTCGATCACCCCCATCACTCACCGTGAACTTGACGATCTCGAGAAGTTCGCGACTCACGTTTGTGTCAACATCCGAAAGTTGCTGCCCCAAGCCGCGACTGTGAACGTTGAGTCCAAGCAGCGCGGTGAGGAAGCGACCTGCGCAGTCCAGGGCCGGGTCTTTCGACTGCCCGCTCGGCCGCTCCTCCAAGCGCAGTTGGTCCTCGAGCTGGGCAACCTGCTCCGCCTTCGCACGGTGGCTGACGCCGGGGTAAAGGTCAGACGGGTGGCTGTCAGCGACGCTCCTGCAGTTACGCACCCTCAACCCTCAACCCTCAACCCTCAACCCCACTCTGAGATTCATGGGTACTTAAAACCCCTATTTTCAAGACTACTTATAAGCCCCCTAAGTCCTCTAAGTAGGTTACAAGTAGACTTATAAGAGGGGTTATAAGTACCCATGAGCCTGCAAGCAGACCTGGGCATGCTGCCCCAGGAGACTCTGCTGCATGCCCTGCCGGAGAGGCTGGAGGGATTGGGGCTGTTTGGGGTTTAGGGTTTGGGGTTTAGGGTTGAGGGTTGAGGGTTGAGGGTTGAGGGTTCAGGACCGACCTTTAATGTAGGCTGACTCCTAGGTTTTTCAGGGCATATCCTAAGCCGCTTAATCCCCCTAAGCCTTCAACCCTTGTATCACCCCAGACCTTATCCGCCTCTAAACCCTAAACCCTAAACCCTAAACCCCTAAGCTCCAGCCAGACAGCTGACTGATTTGCGGACCCCTGCCACGCCGCCCAGCCCAACGCGTGGCTGAACTCGTGGCGTCGGCGATTCTGCGAGCTGCCTCGTCGACACGAGCTTGGGGATAGGGTTTAGGGTTTAGGGTTCAGGGTTTAGGGTTTAGGGTCTAGGGTTTAGGGTTTAGGGTTGATAGGGTTTGTCCCCAGGAATCACCCGCCAGGCGCGCAAGCACCAGAGCCATTGCCGCGGCCGGGTGGCCAGCTCTCCCATTCCAGCGACCCAGACAGGAGAGAGCTGGGGCGACTCCGCCTCCACGGAACGATAGAGGTGCCCCCTTGTTAGGATTTAGGGCGTTTAGGGTTTAGGGTTCAGGGTTTAGGGTTTCAGGTTCAGGGTTTAGGGTTGAGGGTTTGGGGTTTGGGGTTTGGGGTTTGGGGTTTGGGGTTTGGGGTTTTGGGGAGACTTGGAGGGTTCATTGGAGGGCTAAGGGTTTAGGGTTTAGGGTTTAGGGTTTAGGGTTTAGGGTTTAGGGTTTAGGGCTCATCAGTGCAGTTAGAATTGGGGTTCTAAGTACCCATGAACCTGCAGGTGGGGGCCGCTTCGGCTTGCTTTGGTCATCAGGATGCTTTGCGGGTTTAGGGTTTAGGGTTTAGGGTTTAGGGTTTAGGGTTTAGGGTTTAGGGTTTAGGGTTTAGGGTTTAGGGTTTAGGGTTTAGGGCCTAGGGCTCAGGGCTTCGGGCTTAGGGTTTCGGATTCACACCTCGTCTTGTCGTGTAGCCAATGCCCCGTCAAAACGAAGAGAGGCTCACGCAAGAAGCCAACCGAAAGAGAAGGGCAATTTTGTTGTTTTTGGGCAAGCCTCAGCCGTAAACCGGTATGATCTGCAGGGAACAAACCGAGTGTCGCGAAACTGCTGCCTAAACCCTAGGCCCAAGCCCTAAACCCTGAACCTGATCAGGTTGATTCGGATGGGCGCTTGGACCGTCCAGGAGGACCCCTCCGAGAGCCCTCGAACGAGTCCTCTGAAGCCCGAAATCCTTGACCCCAAAACCTAAAGGGGGGTCAGGGTTTAGGGTTTAGGGTTTAGGGCTACTTGGAGGTTCATGGACTTATACGCCCCTTAAGTCCTTAATCCTTAAGTGCCCTAATATGTTTAGAAAATACAGTACCATGAACCTCCATGTACTCCTGAAAAGCCGAAAAGATCTATATAAAGCCCTTAAACCCTAAAGGCCCTAAACTACTAATTTCTTAAGAACCCCGAAAAAACATTCTTCTTTCTTCTTTATCAAGGGTATTCTAGGGATCATTTTTTAAAAATCTTTTGGGGTTTCTTGAGCAAATAGTGGTAAAGGACCGATATAAAGCTCTTAAACCCTAAAGGTTGGGATGTTCCCCTTTACTAGCAGTCCTTAATAGGGGTGATAATATGGGGAGACTGTTAGTATAGCGGGGGAACATCCCAAGCTAAAGTCCCCAAACCCTAAGCCCTAAACCCTAAAACCCCAAAGACTTGCATAAACCCCTGTAGCCCTGAAAGCTCTAAAGCCCAGTGCCTTCACCTCAACCGTTTAGGGTTTAGGGTTTGAGTTTAGGGTTTAGGGTTTAGGGTTTAGGGTTTAGGGCCCTAACGCTCTAAAGCCTCAAGCCCAAAAAGGAAAAGCCCTGACGCAGGGGTTTGGGCGTAGGTTTCGGAGGCTAAAGCCCCCAACCCTACAACACCCTAAACCCTAAACCCTAAATCCCCAAAGCCAGGCCAAGCCTAAAGTCTTAAGCCTTGCCAAGCAAGTCGTAGGAGGCGCTGGGGATGGGGATGGGGTTTAGGGTCTGGGGTCTAGGGTTTAGGGTTTAGGGTTTCGGGTTAGAGTCTAGAGTTGAGGGTTGATTTCCGGTTCCTACTAGTAAGGGGTCCAAACTTGCACCCCTAGATTCCCGAATGAATTCTTCAAAAGGGTTCCCCAAACCTGAGGGTTCAATTTTCGGGGTAGATCTTGTTTTGTTTTTTTTTTGGTTTTGGGTTTATAGGGTTTTGGGTTTATGGGGTCTAGGGTTTATAGGGTTTGGGGTTGATACGGCTCGAGGGTTTACCTCAAAACCTCTTTGTCGGCTGACTGAGTCCAAGGTTTAGGGTTTCAACTAGGGTATCTCATGTTCAGAAGCTCGAGGGTTTACCTCAAAACCACTTTGTCGGCAACTGAGTTGAACGCTTAGGGTTTCCAATTGGGGTATCTCGTTCAGAAGCTCGAGGGTCGACCTCAAAACCTCCTTGCCGACTAACTGACTTGAAGGTTTAGGGTTTTCAATTAGGGTATCACACGAGCCTATAGCAGGTTTGGATTCGGGCCCCACCCCACCCCACCCCACCCCACCCCACCCCACCCCACCCCACCCCACCCCACCCCACCCCACCCCACCCCACCCCACCCCACCCCACCCCACCCCACCATCCTCAAAAACGAGCCATAAATCATAAGAAGAGTATTAACAAACTCTAAACCCTAAACCCTAAACCCTAAACCCTAAACCTTAAACCCTAAACCCTAAACCCTAAACCCTAAACCCTAAACCCTAAACCCTAAACCCTAAACCCTAAACCCTAAACCCTAAACCCTAAACCCTAAACCCTAGCCCCCGAACCCTTTTTCTTGCATTGTGAACAACTCATCAACAAACATTGGCCCTCCGACTCCGAAGCCGAGCGCGCCTTGTTTTCCCACACTGTCCTCTCGGAACTTAGCTCTAAAGCCGGTACCTAAACACTGGATCCCAGACCCCAAGCCCCTAAACCCTAAACCCTAAACCCCAAACCCTAAACCCTAGACTCTAAACCCTAAACCCTAAACCCTAAACCCTAAAGCATGCTGGAGGAGAAGTCGGCAGCCGACATCTTCGAAACCATCTGTGCCTGTGTGCCGGCCGAGGCTCTTAAGGCTGGGCGGTTTGTCTTGGCTTTCTTCGGATTTAGGGTTTAGGGTTTAGGGTTTAGGGTGTTGAGGGTTTAGGGTCTGGGGGTTGGCTGGTCTTTCTTCTGGCTGGCTCTTAGGACTTTAACCTCTTGGGTTTGTGTAGCAACTACAACAAGGAGCCTGAAAGTGAAACTTTTAGGAGGGGTTCAGAAGTCAGCCAAGTTGTTGTTGAGGCTTTCACAGTTCGGGGTCTTAGGGGTTTAGGGCATTTGGGGTCGACACTGCAGGGTTCTAGAGGGCTTAGAGGGTCAATGTTGAGCGTTTCGAGGGTAGGGTTAAGGGATCCGGCGTGCACAGTTCCAAGCCAGGAACTCCCCCCAAACCCTAAACCCGAAGCCCTAAACCCTAAACCATTTCTCGACGTGAGGAGACCTCATCGGCGTCAGTGGGTCATGTTGACGGGTTGGTCTTGCACGGGGGACTATCTCGTCTTTTTTACTAGAGCCCGTTAGCCCCAAACCCTGTAGGCTTTAAGCCCTAAACCCTACGCAAACCCTAAGCCCTTAACCCTCTTCTCATACCCTCCCTATCCCTCTACGGTTTGCTGTGGGCCAAACGGCTAGTGGGCAGAATGCAAATGAAGGGAGCATGTTCAGGGCTCTTACATCTACTCTAGAGACCCTAAGTCCCTAAGCCATACTTGAAGGAACCCTCAACCCTAAATCCTAAACCCTAAACCCTAAACCCTAAACCCTAAACCCTAAACCCTAAACCCTAAACCCTAAACCCTAAAGTTCTAAGTCTACTTTTACGCCCCACTCCCCCCCCCTCTATTGACTTCGCAGTCCTTGGGGCTTTGCAGGGCTTGAAATCCTGGCTACAGCACGGCCGATTCAGTGTTTACAAGCGTTTTTGTTCATGGTGTAGGGGGTTTAGGGTTTAGTTTAGGGTCTGGGGTTTAGGGTTAGTCAGGGTTTTGGGGGGCGAGCTGCCATGGGCGCGGGGTGAAAGCTGGCCAGCAGCATGCTAACACTTCATGTGAGCCTGCTAAGTGGCAGAACAGTCACACTGGAAGCAAAGCCGGATCACACGGTGGAGTCGTTGCAGGTGCATGCACAGACTGCTCTGAACCTAGGGCCCAGAGTAGGCCCGTATTCCTTTTTGTTTAGGGTGTTGTTTAGGGTTGAGGGTTTAGGGTTTAGGTTCCCAATATAACCCCCGTTAAGCCAAAAAGGGCACCCTTTTTCATTCCTAGGCTACTCCTGGGGTCTAGGCAGGGAATGAAGGAATTAGGGACCTACGTATACCCTTTAAGGGATTACATAGGGTACCTCATTCCCACATTCCCCACTAACCAGCAGTAAGAGGAACGTGTGTCGGGGGCGGCTCGTGGATTGTTCCCCACCCTCGGTGTGGGGTTGTTAGATTTTAAACTCAACTGTGCTCCTCGCCCGGAACTCTTCTCGTCGCCCGGTCTACTCCTCGCTCATCCCTGGAGTGCCCAACCCCAAAGTGTCCCTGGAGTGCCCTGTCTCTGGAGTGCCCAACCCCAGAGTCTCCTGGAGTGCCCAACCCCAGTGCCCAACCCCCCAGAGTCTCCCTGGAGTGCCCAACCCCAGAGTATCCCTACCAAGAGAGGGTGGGGATGTTCGAAGCAAAATAATTTAGGGTTTAGGGTTAGGGTGCAGGTTCCCATACAACCCCCGCTTAAACCAAACATGGTGCCCTTTTTTTATTCCTAAGCTACTCCTGGGGTCTAGGAACGTGTGTCGGGGGCGGCTCCTGGACTGCTCTGGAGATCCCTTGGATGCTGCAGCAACAGTTGAGGAAGCTGGGTTGCAGACTGGGCAACTGTTGCTTGGCTTTCTTCTGATTCTGGCTCTTAGGACTTTATCACCTTTTGGGTTTCTGTAGAAACTACAATAAGGAGCCCTTAAACCCTAAACGGTAAACCCTAAACTTTTCGGAGGGGTTCAGAAGCCAGCCAAGGTTAACTCTACAGATGAGGCCTGTTGAGATTTGCAGCTCCGTGACAGGCCGTGCTTTTGCCGCGATTCTCTCCGACGGATCTGTTGCTACTTGGGGCCTCTCTGACTTTGGTGGCGACAGTAGTGCCGTTCAAGATCAGCTCAGGAATGTGTGACTAGGTACGCTGGGGATATATGGTATATTTTTCCTGATTGGGCTTAAGAGAATCATAATTTAGGAGATCTTTTGCATTTTTACCTTAGTGGGTTTAAGAGGATCATAATTTAGGAATATTCTTCAGAGGGTTCCTAAACCCTAAACCCTAAACCCTAAACCCTAAACCCTAAAGGCCATCCGAGGCAACAGCTGCAAGCTTCCAAGGCGGCCTTTGCGGCCGTCTTGGGCGACGGATCTGTGGTGACCTGGGGCCGCGGTGAGAGTGGTGGAGACAGCAGTGCGGTGCAAGAGCAGCTACTAGGCAGTTTAGGGTTTAGGGTTTAGGGTTTAGGGTTTAGGGTTTAGGGCTTAGGGTTTAGGGTTTACTTTCCAGAGGGTCCCAAGGCCATCCTAGGCTAAAAGACGTGCGACAGATCCAGTCCTCATTTCACGCCTTTGCAGCGATCCGGCAGAATGGATCTGTTGTGACCTGGGGCGGGACGAACTATGGTGGAGACTCTGCTGACGTGCGCAGTCGTCTGACGAACGTGCGACACATCCAATCGACCGGGTATGCTTTTGCTGCAATCCTGCAAGATGGATCTGTGGTTACCTGGGGCTGTTCTGAGTCTGGAGCTGACAGCACTGCAGTGCAAGGTCAGCTGAAGAATGTTCGACATATCCAGGCCTCTACTTCTGCTTTTGCCGCCATTCTGGAGGATGGTTCTGTCGTAACCTGGGGAGATGCTGAGGAAGGCGGTGACAGCAGTGCTGTTCAAGATCAGCTGAAGAACGTGCAGCAGATCTCAGCCTCTTCCTGGGCATTTGCGGCCATCTTGGGCGACGGCTCCGTTGTGACTTGGGGCGATCCCTTCCTCGGCGGTAACAGCCGGGCTGTGCAAGGTCAGCTGAAGAATCTTTGTGGTACTTTACTGTAACTCTAGATCCTTACATTTTTGTTGGGCTTATTGGGTTTCTTATATTAAGGCAGCTAAAAGTTGAATTTATAGCTACCCTCCTGAGTGCAGCCAAGGAATGTGCGGCAGATCCAAGCACACAAGAGTGCTTTCGCCGCCGTCCTGGCCGATGGGTCTGTCGTAAGCTGGGGCGCCTGCGGCAGCCACGACCCCGGCCACTCCGGGGGGTATGGTGCTGTCGACTTCAAGTCTGTAGAAGGCCGACTGAAGGATGTGCAACAGATCCAAGCCTCTTCTGGTGCCTTCGCGGCGATCTTAAGCGACGGATCTGTGGTGACCTGGGGTAGTGCTGCCTGTGCCTTGGGAAGCAAATGATTCCTAAAATTGGGGCCCTAGACCCTATACTGCTATAATCCTTATTGGGGTGTATGAGCCCTAAGCCCTTTTAGGGTTCGTTTGGTTCTCAAGGTGGTGGGGACAGCAGCGCCGTGCAACGTCAGCTGCGCAACGTTGAGCAGGTTCAAGCCTCTGAGAGTGCCTTTGCTTGCATCCTGCGGGATGGCTCCGTTGCTAGGTAGCCGCTTGGGACATGCTTCTTACTTTCCCTTAAGTTGGGTTTATAAGAGATTTTTGTATTTTGAGACATTTCTTACTTTCCCTTTGTTGGGCTTATAAGAGGATTATTATTTAGGAATACTTTTTCAAGGGTTTCAGGGACATCCTAGGTTGTAAGCTGGGGCACCTACAGTGCAGAGGGCGCCGACAGCAGTGACGTGCACGAAGAGCTGAGACACGTGAGGCGGATCCAAGCCACTTGCAGCGCGTTCGCAGCGATACGGCAGGATGGATCGGTCGTGACCTGGGCCGATCCTATCGGTGGTGGCGACAGTCGTAGCGTGCAGAACCGCCTGAGAATCGTGCAGGCTGCACAGATTGAGGGTGGGTGGACAGGCACCGGGGCCTCAAAATCTGCTCTTCTTCCAACAAGTCAGGTTGTGGTTAAGAGTCTTAAGAAGCTTGCTCCTAAAATTAGCCAGGTTGTGCATCGAATGGCTCCTTGCCAGTCCTGTGCCTACCCATGAGCCTAAATAAGACGTTTGCAAGCCCTCCACTTCGTGCAGGGTCTCCGAAGACCTTTGGAGCTACCCTGCCTAACCCCCGAACCCCTAAGTCTAAGCCCTCAGAAGCCCGAAAACCCTAAAGCGCAAGAGGTCCCGGGCTGTTGTTTGGCAAGAGCCTGCACCCAAAAAGTCCCAAAGCTGTAATTCAACCCTAAACCCCAAACCCCAAACCCCAAACCCTAAACCCTGAACCCTGAACCCTGAACCTTCTTCAAGTCATTCTTCTAGACTCAACGCCCTCCAGGCACCAAAAGTCCCCTCTAAACCCCAAGAACTGATGCCCTCGAATCCTAAACCGTCACCCCCCCCTTTCCCGCCCCATAAACCCGCCCTCCAAACCCTAAAGCCTCCCTCGCCCCAAAGCATCCCTCAAGCTGAACCTGTTTAATTGGAGAAACCCTGTGAGCCCCCACCCTGAACCCTCTCCCTCCCCACCCAATCCTGTTCTGGCACCCAGAGTAGGCCGCAGTAGGCCCCTATTCCCCCTTTTTTAGGGTGTGGGTTCTTCCCCTAGAGCCCCCTGCAAGCCAAAAAGGGCACCCTTTCTATTCCTCGGCTACCCCTGGGTCGAGTCTTTCCACAAAATCCTAAACCCTGAGCCCTAAACCCTGTTTCTTCCTGGGTTTCGAGTCTTTCTACCCACTAAACAATTCAGCAGGGCATGGCCACCACGATGGAGCAGTTCGGGCTGCTGCCCCTCCACTCGGCCATCCTCCACTTCAACCAGGCATTTAGGGTATAGGGCTTAGGGTTTAGTTGAGGGTTTAGGGTTTGGTTACCAGGCAGACCCCTTCTAGGGCTTTTGGGGTTGAGGGTTTGAGGCTTAGGCCTTGTGATAGAGATGTGTGTGTTGTCCCCACTTTCATTCGCTAGACCCTCAAACCCTAAACCCCAAGCTCCTCAAACCCTAAACCCTAAACCCTAAATCCTAAACCCTAAACCCTAAACCCTAAACCCTAAACCCTAAACCCTAAACCAGAAAACCCCCTAAACCCTCTGAGATTCTCGGAAGGATGCTTTTGCAGCTTCGACCTTTTAACTCTAGGCTTGGGGTGCTTCAGGGTTTCGGGTCCGGGGTTTAGGGGGTTTAGGGGGTTTAGGGGGTTTAGGGGGTTTAGGGGGTTTAGGGGGTTTAGGGGGTTTAGGGGGTTTAGGGGGTTTAGGGGGTTTAGGGGGTTTAGGGGGTTTAGGGTCCCAAGCACTGTATATGCACAGCTAGCCCAGTGGTGCCATCTTTCCCTTTTTGGGTTTTAGGGTTTAGGGCTTAGGGTTCATAGGGTTTACAACAGTAACCACTACCGAAAACGGGTACCCTTGTTGGAACATGGCTGCTGGGCTACCAAGAAAACCCCAGACTCTGAACCCTAAACTCTACACTCTAAACCCTGCACTCGTGCCCTAAACCCTGAACCCTAAACCCTAAAACGCAAACCCTAAGCCTTAAACCCCAAACCCAAGCACTAAACCTAAACCCTGATCCCTGCTCTCTAAACCTTCAAGTCGCCACTGGGAGGTTCATGGTACTTATTAACCAATTCTAGCTGTACTTAAAAGGGTTTAGGGTTTAGGGTTTAGGGTTTAGGATTACAATACTCATTACCCACTTATAAGCCCCTCAAGTGCCCTAATATGGTTATAAGTACCGTTCCAAGTACAGTTTTTAATTTGTTAACAGGTACCTGAACCCTAAACCCTAAACCCTAAGCCCTAAACCCTATACCCTAAACCCTAAACCCTAAACCCTATTGGTTAATAAGTACCATGAGCCTCCAAGTAAAGCTTCAAGAAGTCGCCAGCGGAAGGCCATCGCGGGCTTGCGCTCCGCGCGCGAGGCCAAGGCCAGGAAGTCCGAGTTTGGCGAGTTCGGGAGATTGCAAGATGGGATTGGGTTTTGGGGTTTAGGGTTTAGGGTTTGGGGTTTAGGGTTTGGGGTTGGGAGTTTAGGGTTTAGGGATTTAGGGTTTAGGGGCGTAGGGGTGTAGGGTTTAGGGTTTAGTGCGCCTGCCTCCTTACTCCCAATCTTCTCTTCATGCTCGGATGCCCCGTGCCACCTGCATTTCAATTTGTTGGGAGTTGGGCGGGGGGGGGGGGGGGGGGGGGGGGGGTGATGGTCTAGGATGCGCAGCAGTAACCTTCTTCCTTTTTCATTGGTTCCGTTGTGGTCTCCATGAAGCCAACAATGGCCACACTTTTTATTGGGGTACTGGGCGATCTAGCCAGACAACAGCGACAAACATTCGTCACCCTAGACCTAAGAGGCAAGCCCTTTGTTCCCGAAAATGAAGATTTGGGAGTTTTCGAAGATAAGTGACCCCTATATAGACCCGCAAATAGTAGGATTAATAAAGACTCCACTGAGGTACCACCCGGCCCCCCCCCCCCCCCCCAATTTCGCAAGCTCCCATGTGTGCCCCTAAAAAGGAGTGGTCAGTCTTGTACCTCAAAAAATGAGTAGGTTTAGGGGCTTAGGGCTTTTGAGCCCTGAAAAACGCCAAGGTGCGGGAGGGCCTCAATCCTACAGAAAACCGGGCGAATCCCCAAAAGGAGCGGTGGGGTGGAGCAAACCCTGAGAACCCGAAACCCGAAACGAACATGAAAAGTGACATACATAAAACCCCAAACCCCAAACCCTACACCCTAGCCCTAAACCCTAAACCCTAAACTCTAGAAGTGACTGGCAGACCCTGACCCAAAAGGAGTGAGCGGCAAAGCCCTGGAATCCAAAAGCAGCGGCAGGGCTTTAGGGTCTTATTGGTTAAGGTTTCGGGGCTTAGGGCTAGGGTGTGGGGTTTAGGGTTGAGGGTTGAGGGTTGAGAGTTGAGGGTTGAGGGTTGAGGGTTGAGAGGGTTGAGAGGGTTGAGGGTTGAGTGTTGAGTGTCGGGTAGGGTCTGAGGTTTGGAGGCTCTGAATGTTTCTAGGACATACCGGGTCTTTAGACCCTCACCCCGAAACCCTAAACCCCAAACCCCAAAACGCAAGTT